TATATGTATTCATGTTTTAAATGTATTTAAAATAAATCAAGAATAATATATATTTTATTTATATAATTTATATTGACTATTGTTATAAATTTTTAACAGTGATATACTAGCCTTTCAATTCTTCATTAAAAAATTAACTTAAAATTTGAATAAATTGTTTAATGTATATAACTTTGTACCAAATTTAGCAAAAAAAAAAAAATTTATAAACTATTAATAAAATGTTTACGGGTCACAATATTTTGTGACGTCCCTGTTACACAATACAGTGATGAAATACAATGTTTAAATAATGTACTATTACTTAGTTAAATTGGAACCATTAGATTGTAATTTTTGAAATGTTTATATATACCATAAAAACAAATACCCGCCCAGTCGGGCGGGTTATGATCTAGTTTTCTTATTAAAATACATGTACAGTTGTGCGGGTCGAGATCTAGTTGTTATTAAAGCTAAAGATGAAGTTTGAAACATTATTAATTATACATATTGATATAAAAATTGGTATAGTTATATAAAATTACATAACGTTTTCAATCAAAGTAGATAAAAGCGTTAAACAAGATTTTTATAAAATAGTTTGGTAACACTCCAACCGCCCACGATTAATGGAGTCTTACATCCACACTTAGTCCGTGGATCACATTTTATATGATGGAATGTACATTAATTTTTCCAGGGAGTAAAAATTTTGTCTATTGTCTCTACAATTACTATATGATTTTTTCAGTGTTTTTGTTTCATTTATAGGATATCATAAATCAATTTTCGATAGGTCATCTATCTTTTAACTATTCCAACTCAATCACACTTGACTCTGAAGTCGTAAACAGATATGTGACGCAAAAAATAAATGCACTTTTGATGATATAGATAACCAAATTAATTCTTTTAATCATTTCCATATTACCAGAAATTAGAATGTTAAAGTTCATCCTCACTCACAAAACATAATCTCTTCGTTTCACCCCAAGATCATTATTTATGTTATTGGGAACCCTCAAATGATGTCTACACTCATTTGATTCGGCTATGATACCACTTGTAACTCCTTGATTGCTCATGGTTAATGACTTTCACGTCTGCTCACTCGGTCCTTGGACTACAATATGTGCGACGTGCAGTGTGTTAATTTTTTGGAGGCTCGAAAATCATTTTTTTTATCTTTGCAGTCATCATATAACTTTTTCCCGTGTTTAGCCATCACTCACATGATATAATTAATCATTTTCTGATAGGTAGTCCATTTTTCCATTATTCTAGTTCAAACAAGTTCAATTCTGAAATTTTAAACGGATGTGTGACAGTAGTCCATTTTTCCAATATTCTAGTTCAAACAAGTTCAATTCTGAAATTTTAAACGGATGTGTGACGAAAAAGATAAATATACTCTAATGACATATTTGGTCAAATCCATTCTTTTAATCTTCCAATATATATCAGAAATCAGGATACTACAAATTTAGTGAACAAATAAAACATCTAACTATTATTTGCATGGTATTTTCTTTTTTCTAATCTCTCAAAATAAAAAGTAGAGCAGATAAAGTTTTTACTATCTTTAATGAATAATTGAATTTGTTAATATAAATATTTTTTACAGATTTAATAATTTGCATTAGCTAAAATAGTGTATATTGTGGTATCCAAAAAGTTATTTTACATCATAAAATTTGAAAAGAAGGATAAAGCCTTACATATATTTTGCATAAATTTTTGTCTATATAGATGAGTATTTTTAAATTTATTTTACATAATAAAAGACAATTTTTATTATAATGAAAACTTTGTCATATATAAAGAATTTGGTAAATTTAATTTATTTCTAAGTCAAATAATAGTGTTTTTAAATTTAATTTACATAATAAAAAAATATGATGTCGTGTTGAAAAAAATGTTATTTAATTCATTATTAAATATTTTAGATACATAAATAATAAATTATTTGACTCAATAATGCATATATTATAAAATTTGTTAGATTATTCAATCCATAAATCTTTGAAACACAAAAATAAAACTTGTCAATTTTACAATATCATATGTAAAATAAATTAATATATAAAAATATAAGAAGAAAATAAAGAGTTAAAATGTTTTCATACTTTTTTTAACTTTTATTGTTAAATTTCTATTTGCAAATTGGTACATGAGTGGTTAGTTTTGAATAAAGCATTGGAATCTCCTCAAAATTGATCTGCCACTCTCTCAACCTTCTCTCTGTCTCCTCTCCTCGCTTCGGTACTTCCGAAGATTCGATTTTTTTTTACTAATAAACTATTTCCAAATTCTTCCTCTCCAATCTCTGTAATCACAATATAGTCAAACAACAAAGCTTCTTCCTTTCTTCGATTCTTTATTGTTCAAGAAATGGCGAATGCATCTGGTTTCTTCACCCATCCTTCGATTTCCTCAATGCGAACCCGAACCCACCTCCCGATTAGCGTTTCTGGATCTGGGTTTTGCGTTTCGAAACGATTCTCCAAAAGGGTTATCTGCTCTTCTAGCCTTACCTCCCTCGATAACAATGTTTCTCCTTCTCAATACCGACCTCCCAGGTGATAAAAACTCAACCTTTGAATCCTTATTTTAACAATCCATTGATCCTAAATCGAAAGTTGATTACTTTTTTTATGTCTTAGCTTTAAGGATGATCTTTAAGACAAAACATGCGTTTAAATTGTGTCTCTGATTAATGCTGATTGTTAAGTCTTTGCTTAGGTCTAAAGGAAGATCTTTAAGACAAGTTAATATCTTATGTAATAATTTAAATGGTTTCTGATTCAACATTTCTTTTTGTTCTGTCTGCTTAAAGGCTAGTGCCGAGTGGCTGCAAATTGATTGGATCTGGTTCAGCTGTCCCAAGTCTCCTCATTTCTAATGATGATCTCGCAAAGATTGTCGATACTAATGATGAATGGATAGCTACTCGTACGGGTATCCGTAACCGTAGAGTTGTATCAGGTAAACATTGTATCCATTTCATTTCTTTGTGATCATTAAGAGTAGACATTGATTCATAAACCTACAATTGAAGGCAAAGATAGCGTGGTTGGGTTAGCAGTGGAAGCAGCAACCAAAGCCCTTGAAATGGCAGAGGTTGCTCCTGAAGATATTGATTTGGTCTTGATGTGTACCTCCACTCCTGATGATCTCTTCGGTGCTGCTCCACAGGTATTACTCACTCTTAGATTTATTTTTTAACGGAGTTAAAAGTCACCCACTGATTGACTCTGTATTGATGGCAGATTCAGAAGGCACTTGGTTGCACAAAGAACCCTTTGGCATATGATATAACAGCTGCCTGTAGTGGATTTGTTTTGGGACTAGTCTCAGCTGCTTGTCATATTAGAGGTAACAAAGTCAAATAAGATGATTAGTAGCTCATAAGATAAGTCTGTAATAAATAACTATCCTTTTTTTTCTTTCAGGAGGTGGTTTTAAGAATGTTTTAGTGATTGGAGCTGATTCTTTATCTCGGTTTGTTGATTGGACTGATAGAGGAACTTGCATCCTCTTTGGAGACGCTGCTGGTGCTGTTGTTGTTCAGGTACTGAATATTCTTAACCGGTCAATCTCATTGCAGAATCTTGATTTTAAAAGATCAGTCTTTGTTCTTCAGTTTAAACTTGGCACTTTCATTTAATGCAGGCTTGTGATATTGAGGATGATGGGTTATATAGTTTTGATGTGCACAGCGATGGAGACGGTCGTAGGTATTCAGATTCACATTTTCTTTATGGCCTCTTAAGAATTCATCTTCTTTTTCTTTTTTTTTACTTAAGGTTCTCTTGTTTTTTGCAGACATTTGAATGCTTCTGTTAAAGAATCTCAAACCGATGGTGCTTTGGGCTCGAATGGGTCAGCGTTGGGTGACTTTCCACCAAAACAATCTTCATATTCTTGCATTCAGATGAATGGACAAGAAGTGTTTCGCTTTGCTGTCAAATGTGTTCCCCAGTCTCTTGAGGCTGCCTTACAAAAAGCCGGTCTTCCTGCTTCTTCCATTGATTGGCTCCTCCTTCATCAGGTAACATTCTTATCATACCCGGTTTGTATGAGAGCTTTTGTATGGTTAAAAGGAAAGTCTTTATAAAACATTTTGCAGGCAAACCAGAGAATAATAGACTCTGTGGCTACAAGGCTTCAGTTTCCACCGGAAAGAGTGATATCAAACTTGGCTAATTACGGTAACACGAGCGCTGCTTCTATCCCTCTAGCTCTTGATGAAGCTGTGAGAAGTGGAAAAGTTAAACCGGGACATACCATAGCTACTTCCGGTTTTGGAGCCGGTTTAACTTGGGGTTCAGCAATTATCAGGTGGAGATGAATGGTTAAAGTCCAACATGTAAGTTTACTTCAGAGCCAAAGTTTGTTTTTTTCTCTTCCACAGAGTAGAGGAACCACTGGAAATTGGTTAAATCGGTCTGGTTAGTCCGGTTGAACTGGAAGTAAAGCGCATTTTGTCTGAGTTCGTTTCATTTTCACTTTTGAGGTTTCATTGTTTACTTGTTAACTTCTTAGTGATTGTTTCCTTTAATCTTTTTCTGTTCTTGAAATTTATTTTTTTGTTGGTGATAGATGATTAGTTGTTCAAACCATAATTGATCAGAATCTTTAGAACCATTAATCACTTAAAAAGAAGTTTAGAATGTAGTAAACAACAATCATCAATGAATAAAAGATGCTCAAATGAAGCATGTCCTTAAGGGAGAGATAGGTTGAACAATTCATGTGAGGGCTTAGGGTCTGTTCTATGCCGGTTTCCGATTCAATCCAAACCCATTGTTTTATTCTGGCTACAGAAATATAGTTCTTTAGTGCAATGGTAAAATAAATTGGTTCTTGATAACTAAAGACCACCAATTTCCACTTCTAAACTCTTTAAACATAGATAATCTATATTATAATAGTTGAGTTTCAAGACTCCTCAACGCGCTACATCAGCATTAGGTAGGTTCCACTTTAAAAATGTGAAAAATGTCAAACATATGATTCGAACTCGGGTTATTAAGAAACAAACACTAACATTTATACCACTAAACTACAGGATAACTTGTACATTGATGGCCGAAACTAATATATATTTAGCCGGAAGCCTTTGCATCTATAACCTCCTTTAAAGTTCGGGTCTGGAAGTGTATTATGAGTTTCATTTTTATTTGGGCTTCATCATATTATATGAAGAAAATCCTCAAGTTTACAACAGTTATAGTTTTTCCATATTGTAAACCGTTAATGTTTAAAATGAGTTAACATTCCTTTCATCATCGTATCATACAGGTCTGAGTTATAGAGCTGCGTCGTGTGTCTGTTCGTAATCTATTTTTTTCACCGGTGAACTTTTCATCTCCCCATCTTACATCGCTTGATCATAAATGTTCCTAATTTGTAGCCCCTCTGTAAATCATATATATATATGATTCTCATCTTTGATGAACCCTATGTGCATCTCCACAAAACTTATTTATTCCTCTTAACTTTAACCATCTTCTAGAAAATGTCTCTCTCCTTCTCCAGTTCCTAAAACTAGCGTCACCGGCATCCATCATGCAGCCTTCAAGTCTCTCTGTCATGTTAAAGTAAACATAAGCCATATACCAACCAAATTAACATATAGAACCTCAAATCATTCAGTATAGGTTTTAGTAAACGAAACTAATAATAATAGAAATAAAGTCATACAAAAAATTCAAACCTTCTTATTGCAGGTTCCGAGAACACCGAATCAACAGAGGTTCACTGAGTAAGGAATGCGATGGAGACAGCCTTAACTAAGGTGAGCTAATCTCTCTTCCATGTCGCTATAGAAAAACCATAATTTCACAAAATGACACACTAAAAACACAATCAGACCAAGAATCACAAGAGCTTGTCACACTACTGAAGATGACGAGGAGAAACAAAAAGGGCGAGTAAACAATCCAGTTTCAGATCTAAAATGAGACTCAAGACTCATCAAATTTCAAGTCCAATCATTTAAAATCCAACTACTATATTTTCTTTGTGTTCAAATATAATCCTATACAACTAAACTTTTTAATCTACCATTCCCATTTTTAAACTACCACAAAATATTTTTGACAAATATAAAAAAAATAACTGTCTTAGTCATACATGTATATAATTATACGAAGCCTTAGCATTTATTAAACTACAGTTATATATTTTCAAAACATGTCATGGCACATTGAAAACAACAACTATATTTCTTTTCGAATAACAAAATTATTTTTTCTTCGTTCCCATATTATAGTTGTATAGTAACAAATACATATATTTGGTTACATATGATTATTAACTCACTAATAATATTAAGATCCAATTAAATCGTAAAAAATGTAGAAATACGAACACATATAAATTCGTCAAACACTCTTATCTGTAAATAAAACAGGTCTTTACTCACTAATAATATTGATCTCTAAACATTCCACACAACCCCTTAACAAAAATGTTTCATCTTTTTCTCTTCAATCCATTAAACTATATTTCTTTGTATAATTTAATAAAATCTTAATTTTTTTTAAATGCTAATTCACTATTTAACAATAATATACTACCAACCTACAAATTAGACAATAACAACATAATAAATCACCCATCCTAGACATAAAAGCACTAATAACACAAATATTCGAGAAAGTCATTACTAAAATAATATATGAATATTTCAAAGCATATGAATTTTCACTCATTCATATACCAACTAAATTCAATCGGGTTTTCGGTTAAACCCCAAACAAAAAAAATGTCCAAAAAAATGACAAAATCCCATCTATAAAACATCATAACATATCATCACTGTCTCCGGCTCCGCGCTTGCGCGGAGCTATGAACCTAGTAGTAATAAATCTACGGTTTGTAAGAACATGCGAAATATATCGACTAAAAAATGACGTTGAACAATGAATTTAAGAAAATAAGATTAACTGTTAACATGAGTGAAAAAATTTCAAGAGAGAAAAGAAAGGGGACAAATGAATTCTCCAGAAAAAAACTGAACATTAATTTAAATATTAAAATTATTAGGTGCAACAGTTTTATTAGATTATTAGAATCATGTGGTTTAGTAAAATCATGTGGTTTAGTGACTGGTTTAGCTTCCCTTTACTAAACCGGTTATGTATATATACAGAAACTTGTACACTGTAAACATTTGACTTGAGTAAATACATTTTACATTTTCTATCCGTAACAACCTTTCTCTTTACTTTCATCATCAAAAGCTCAAGTTCTAATATGGTATCAGAGCTGTGAATTTCGCTTTCACGCTCATTTTCTCGGGAAAATCAGAGTTTTCTCATCGATTCTCGCTGTTTCGATCTCTCGATGAGTCTTTCCTTACGAGATTTGGAGAATTTGTTTGTTGAACTCTGTTTTCTTGAATTGTTTGCGATTTATCACTACATCTCTGTGATAATCGTGCTTCTGATTTCGTTTTCATCTTCTTATTGACCTTTGATTTGCGTTTCTTTTCTTGCGCAATCGCTTTCTTTTGATTCTTGTTGGATCTTGTTGCCGTTATTAACTTCTCGATGGCTAATCCCACAGAGAATCGTCCTTCGTCCGTCACCGATGAACATCTTCCTCCGTCGGCGTCTATGGGTGATCCTAACTCAAATCCGCTCTATGTTCACTACGCGGATCATGCTGGTATATCTCTTGTTTCTGAGAAACTAGCTGGGATTGGTAACTTCAATACTTGGCGTAGATCGATGCTTATGGCTTTAGGTGCTAGAAATAAGGCTGTATTTGTTGATGGAACCTATCCTGAGTTAGATGAGAATCATGCTGATTATGCGTCTTGGTCACGTTGCAACAACATTGTTTGCACTTGGATTGTTAATGCTGTTGAGAAGAAGATTGCTAAGAGTATCATGTATCTGGATACGGCTCGCCAGATGTGGTTAGATATTCATGACCAATTCAAACAAGGCGATGGACCAAGGACTGCAGAGATCAAGCAACAGATTTTTGCTGAAATACAAGGATCTCAGAGTGTGAGTGATTACTATACGAAATTGAAGCAGTTGTGGGAAGAGTTGAAGAACCATGAGAGTCCATATATCTGTTGTTGTGGTCGCAATGACTGTGCTAGTCTCAAGAGGATTGTTGATAGAGAGGAGCAAGATCACATTTTGAAGTTTCTTACTGGCCTCAATGATACGTTCACTGCAACTAGAGGTCAGATACTGATGCTGGAGCCGAGGCCAAACATTTCGAAGGTGTTTAATCTAGTCTCTCAAGAAGAACGACAGAGGTCGATGAAGAGTACTAGTGAAGTGGCTTGTCATGTCTCTCGGAGTAATGCTGAAGACTCCTTGGTGGCAGCTTATACAGGATGATATAACAAACACAAGCCACGTCCTATCTGTTCTCACTGTGGACTTGCAGGACATATGGTTAACCGCTGTTACAAGCTCCATGGTTATCCACAGGGCTACAAACCATCTTCTACTAGGCCTCAGAATCAAGTTCAGAATTCAGGTCAACCGAAAGCTTCCCAGACTTTGCCTCCTCACAAAGACAATGTTGCCAATATGGTCATTCAGGATTCGGGTGGTATCTCTCTACACAGTCAACATGGTGTTCACTTGGGTACAGTTACACAAGAACAAGTCCATCAGCTTCTCAATGTCTTGAGTACTCGTCATACTCCTTCTATAGACAACGTTTCTCAGATTTCTGGAAGTCACATTCAACTCTCAGATAGAACAGTTTCTACTTCTAAACCTCAACCTCACCTGCTTACTCACATGTCCTCTGAAATTCCTCCTTCAGGTAACACGACTAACTTTCATTTTATTTCTGCGGGAATGAAGAACGGCCTTACTATTCTTGCTCCAACTTGGGTTATTGATACTGGTGCTAGTTGCCATGTGTGTTCTGACTTGACAATGTTTTCTTTGACTAATTCAATTAGTAACACAACTGTAACACTCCCTGATGGCACTCGTATCCCTGTTACTCTTTCTGGTACTATCAAACTTACTCCACGACTAACATTGGTTAATGTGATGTATATACCCCATTTCAAGTTCAATCTTCTAAGCATTAGTGCTCTTACTAAGAATAGTACCATGACTGTTCTGTTTTCTGCATATGATTGTTACATTTTTCCTGATAATCCGTTTCTTAAACTTCAGGAGCATATTCAGGATTACATGATTGGGAAGGGTAACCTCCACAACAATCTCTATGTCCTGGATACTCCTCTTTCATCCGCAAATGCATCTTCTCTTAACATTCTTGACTCTCATACTACTCTGTCTCAACATCACACGCTTGATCATAATGTCTCATTGGTTGATTCTGAAGTTTGGCACC